CTGGCAATTGAAGTATTTGCATAATATTTTTTTAAAAATTTCTTTCCAATTTACTCGTTTGTTTCGTCTTCCTGTGCCTTCCAAATTTGCATCACAATCATGCTGACGAGGTCCAGTTGCAGTGCTGACTTAAGACGTTTAAAACATAATATTCCAAAACATGTTATCTCACTTTTTCTTAACTTCCTACCTCTTGTTTTCATTTTCCGGCTATCCATTTCGACTTTGCCACAGTATCTTGTACGTAAGCATTAATTTTGCATTAATTATCGGTGATATGAAATAAAACAAACTTATAAAAATTTCCATCTTTTCCTTCGACCACATGCATATCAACGCCATACAGCTCGATCCACTTTGCTTTATTCAAATAGTTCAATTCAGCTTGAGCTGGCGATTGACCTCTGAAATCTCAGTTATTCAGGAAAATCATGAAAAACCTAAGAAATCTCTGGGAGAATTTCCAGAAAAAAAACAACTGAAAAGCATTTCGAATATCGACCTAATGACAAAACCCTTTGAAAAATTATAGTACCTGCAAGTAGTGAATTTTTCCAGAATTGCAATTTCCATTTCTTCGTCTTGTTCTGGATGAAAGCGAAATTCTGAAATCAGGGCTGCAGTGTGCTCCACAGGATTGTAATCACCGAGTTCTGCTGCAAATCAATACGAAAATGAACTGATTCGCGATACTCGGCAAAATTTTCTTATTTCTGGTAAGAGTATAATTTGTAATCCTAATCATTAAATGGTGAGAGGGCGAAAAATTGAGACCAAGAATATGGCAAAGTAGGCAAAAGAACTGTATACTTAATTATGAATTTTCATATTTCTTTTGTGTTCATAAACTCTTCTAGAATGGTACCTCATCCGATTTTGGAATGGTCGAAACGAAGGGGACAAATCGAAGCAGCTAAAATCCTACCAAGTTTTGTTGTCGGGAGGATCGCTAAAGTGGTGAAGTTTTTCAGGATGAAATATAAGCCTCAGGATAGCCAGCAGATTAATCACCAGGATGATGTTAACTGAGAAAGTTACTAGCCCAAAAGACGGAAAACCAGATCTATTAGAATCAGCAGCTGTCTTAAGTATCTACAAATATATATTTTTTATAATACTCACATAAATTCATTCTTTTTAGATTAAAAGTCAAAATACTCTTCACACTTTACTCGCTATGAATACCAGAAAAGTCCAGAAGTAATCTGAATGATAGCACTTTGCCAACACTTATAAATATTTGGGTTAAGATGTTTTAGTCCGGTTAACCTGTTTTAAACAGAAATCTTTTTCTACTATTTTCTATATTTATAAGGAAACACTTGTTGCGAGACGAGCACTATTTATCACATTTACTTTCCATATTCTTTTATTATGTTAAAATTATTCGCGTTCGGGTAGCAAAACTGTGAAAGCAAAGGACGTTTTTAAGGATTTTTTCAGAAAATTTTCTTTTCCTTGAAAAGGTTAAGCAAGAAAAGATATCATTAGCGAAATGCAA